AGAAAGATTTTTGGAACTATATTTTTATCGTTATCTTTATAGTTATCGTCCTTGGTGTGAACAGGCATATAGGCTACATATTACTGTTTACTAGGGGATGTGCATGAGAACTCTGAAGTGACACCAGTGATTGATAATGTAAACAATGATTGGCTATGATTATGCTTGACGTGATTTTTGTACTGAATTCAAAATTCAGTAACAACTCGGAAACAAAAATTGGGTCAAATAGAGACCGCATTATTGATTTTCTAATTACGACATAATTTTCAGCAGCATCCAGCTCCACCTTGAGGCATGCTCTTTAAAAATCATTATTTAAAATATACAGCGATTTTAGTTCTTACCCTAAAGTATGATTGATTTAATTCAATTCAATTCAAGTTTATTTGTATAGCGCTTTTCACAATACAAATCGTTGCAAAGCAACTTTACAGCAAATTAAGTTTCTACAATATTTAGTGGTAGCTTATCAGTGGTGATTGTCAGTTTATGTACATATGGCAGAAATGTACGGAAAAATCAATTAAAGACATAATCAATTAAAGACGTAATCAAACAGACGATGAACACTATTAACAGCAATTATTATATGATGCAATCAAACTTATAGCAAAATTTAGTAGTTCTGTATGTTGTTTCATGGTTGGCATCATCTGAGGTCCTCTGAGGGGTTGGCATCATAGATTGATTGGTAGTAATGTAATCCCACTTGGCTAAATCACGCTAAGATGATAATGGGAATGCTAGCATACCAGCATCCCAAAACATATTCACTATTTTGGTGGCAAGTGTCTCTCACTCAAACTATGAGCAGATTAGTACAGATGTTCTTTTCCCGACAGCATCCTCTCTATCCTAGTACGGAGGCGCTCTTCCAGGCTCCAGCTGAATTCTGTTTCATTAGCCTGTCAAATTCAATAATAGTTAGAGCCCGTCCTCTCACTGAGCACTGCAAACTCAATCAGTCCTATGCTTTCATAACCCTTGCTTTGTGACAAGGATTATTTTATCGAGGCACCGATCCACTCTGATTAACAGGCTGTGTGTGCATGTGGGGTGAAATACAACACTGCCAGAGTGTCCAGGCTGGGAGAGAAAGAGAAGGCGGGAACAAGTGTGTTCATAAATCAGAATTGTGGGATAGAGGAAGGTGCTGATGAGCGAGCAGAAGGCGAGCGTCCACAGACGATGATGATCTGTGATGGCCCATGAGAAGCTGGAGAGGGTAGATGTATGAAGAGTCAGCCACCATAAATAAACTCAAATAGAAAAACAAACCTGACATTTTAGTCCCCGGTCTGCTGCCCTTGAGAAATAAGGGAGAGAAGTAAAATATAATGCTTGCTGCAATTATGTGTTTTCATTGTTTTTAATAATAGAAAAAAGATCTGCACACTGTTATTCACCCTTTATTCAAAAAAGTTAAAAATAACAACGTTTCGGTCGAAGACCTTCGTCAGGCAAACACACATACATGCAAAGGCAACAGCTCAGTAAGTACTCAGATTCAAACAGAGTTCCAATTGATTACACCTGTTACCAATCAAAGTTAGTCATGTGAACAGCTATAGTATATCACAATTAAAACAAGACAACCACAATGAGGCAAAAATTTAAATACAACCACAGTATCAAAAAATCCCTAAACCATCATAAGACAACACCCAAACACTCCCCCGTCTTTTTTATAATTCACAATTACTTGTCCTAGAATTAATCAAAGCATAACTATACAACACATATTTAGGTACAAACGAGACTGTATCAACAACATTCACCTTTCAATACAAAAAAATATCAATTAGAAACATGAGTTAAAATCAAATTCTAAATTCAAACCCTTAGGGGAAAGAGTATTTAGTGTATAAGTCAAGTCACCTTTATGTATAGCGCTTTTAACAATACAGATTGTGCCAAAGCAACTGTACAGTATTAAATAGGAAAATAGAGTGTCAATAATGCAAAATGACAATAGTAAACACTCAATTTTCAGTTAAAGGCAGTTCATCATTGAATTCAGTGATGTCATCATCCAGCTCAGTTCAGGTTAAATAGTATCTGTGCAAGTCGACGATATCGCTGGAAATTAAGTGTCCCCAACTAAGCAAGCCAGAGGCAACAGCGGCAAGGAACCAAAACTCCATCGGTGACAGAATGGATTAAAAAAAACTTGGGAGAAACCAGGTTCAGTCGGGGGGCAAGTTGTCCTCTGGCCAGATGAAACCAGCAGTTCAATTCCAGGCTGCAGCAAAGTCACATTGTGCAGAGGACTCATCTGGATCCTGTGGTCTTGTCCCGGTGGCCGTCTAGGACACAAGGTCTTCACTGGGGATCTGTCTCTGGGGCTCATCTAGTTGTCCTGGTCTCTGCTGACATTCAGGGCTGTAGAGGTCCTCTCTAGGTGCTGATCCACCATCTGGGCTGGATACGGACTGGATCCGGGTGACTGCAGTGACCATCTGGTCTGGATACACACTGGATCTGGTGGCCTCGGAATAAGAAAGAAACAGACTAATATCAGCGTAGATGCCATTCTTCTTTTATAAATATAATAAGCTTCTCTTTTTAATAAGATATTGTTGACATCACCACCTCTCCTAGGTACTTTAACATGTTCAATTCCAATATACCTAAGTGTGGAAAGGTTATGCCTTTTTGAATTAAAATGTACTGCTACCGGGTTTTTGTGTGTATACTGCTTCGATGTTCTGCAATCCTAGTTTTCAAAGCACGTTGTGTCTTTCCTATATACGCTAACCCGCATGGACATTTTATCATATAAATAAAATTTTTAGTAGTACAAGTGACGACTTAATTTTAATTTTAAACTCCCTTCCTGAATGAGGATGAGAGAAGACATTCGTTTTTGTAGTGAAATTACACTGGGCACAACGACCACAACTATAGTTACCCGAGGGGATAGATAAAAAGTGAGTGGGTCGTTCTACAGATAAACTAACGTCAGCAATGTCTTACAAGGAGATCACGTATATTAGGAGAGCGTTTATACACAAACCTTGGTGTTTTTTCAAAGATATCACTGAGGGGAGGATCAGATTTTAAGATATACCAGTGTTTATCTATGATCTTTTTTATATCTGAACAAATAGGAGAATATTGAACAGCACATACAATGGTTTAATTTCTGATTTTAACCGTTTTTTTTATTTAGAGATGCCTCTTGATTTTCATTTCCAAATCTCCTAACTGCAGACTGTATCCAATCTTCATTGTAACCTCGCTCCCTAAATCTGTTAACCAGATCAGTGCTTTGTTGTGTATATGACTGTTCAGTACTACAAATTCGACGTATCCG